GTCTTGATTTGAGAATAAAAAACAATGTTTCCATTCAGTTCCTTCATTTGCGATGATAGTATTGGGTTTTACGAAGCAAGTTTCCGCTGAAAAGCTGTCGTTCATATTTACGCAAAGTCAACACGCTGCAATGAAATAATTAAAGCGACCGCCGAACTCGAGTTTTGGCCAACGTCTTTGACGTTCGTTTTTCATCACTTTCATTTAAGTTTTTCGCCTGTAAGTTAAAGTTGGCTCCCTTGAAGGGGCGTGTAAAATAAGAGCCAGCAAAACCAGATGCTCTCGCGCGGTAAACTCCACCGCGTCGCGAGAAATTAATCATTTTCTCGCAAGCTAACTGCTTGTAATTTATTCCAAAATATACGCTTCAGTGGTTCTCGCGAGACGAGAGTCTCGTCTCTCGAGACGAAACTCTCGTCTCGCGAGGCGACACTTTCGTCTTGCGAGACGAGAGGTGGTAAGTTACTTTTTAGCGGTACTGTATAACCAGGTGAAAAATGAATACAAGTAAATTTACAGCCGTACATGGTCTTACGACTACGAAAAATTGAAAAAAATCTAGATATTGTTGGGTAGTAAAGTTCTCCACGTACGCAAATCAACCAGAAGGCCCGCTTTGGAAAGATCAGGTACAGAACGTAATCAGCTAGTGAACCCGTTTGAGTGAGGCGAGGTGAGGACCGCGTCACTGACCCACCTTGTCCCATGATTCTTTTCGAAGTGAGCAGCTCTCAGCCAGACGCTCTTCTTGCTGGGAAACACAGACAGAGCATGCGCATAGATAGCTCTTGCACATTCAAAGGCATTGTTGGCAACACACTGGGAATGAAGACAAACGAAAAAACAGAATTAAAAAGAAATACTTTTATTTCGTCCACAGGTAAGCAATGGTGGACTTTTGCCGTGTTTACATAACCTCATCTAAACACGAGGGGTGGTTTGGGGGGGGNATGCAAACCCTAGACTAAGTCTCGGGTTTGCATAACTGTCTCGAATTCTCCCAACCCCCTGTAGTGTTGAGATGAGGCTATGTATAAAGCACGGAAAAAAGTCCTCTATTGCTTCTATAAAATACAATGGAATCTCGTTAATCCGGTCACCAAAGGGCCACTAAATCTGGCCGTATTAAAGGGGTTGCTTAAATAAGAAAATAACTCACTGAGCTTTTATTCGGGCCAGAATAAATTGATCGTAATAACGAGGTGGCCGATTTATAGGGGTGGCCGTAAGGCGGGGTTCCACTGTATTTCTTATCAGAACCATGTTTTACTTTACATACTCTCAACTACACAGCTATCGATCCATGCCCCAATGAAAGCACGCGTACTATCTTACATATTTTACAAATACTTGCGGAGTAACGACTACAAAATTCCATGTTATGTTATCTTCCTTACGTTGACAGGCGNGCATCGATCCCCACTGAGTTTGCATCGTGTCCCAGCGTCATGTTTTCAACCTCAAGTTATGACAGAAAGGAAATGGTTCATCAAAAATTCTGAAAAAATCAAGAGAACTGCAATGTAGAAAATCGCTAGCGCGAGAGAATATTCTTTTTCTGCTTCTGTTTGCATTGGCTGTGATGAAGGATGTCGTTTATTTTGAAATACAATTATTCAATTACTGGGAAATACAAGCTTTACTTAGAAACAAAAAAGACTAGAAAAGAAAATATCTTGAATACGGACTGATAGCCGAGGCAAATCCCAACCACAGAGATCACCTTGACTTCTTTACTACGGACAAACCTCTGATTATTTCATTCCTGATTATTTCTCTGCCGAAACATGATCATTATTGTGAGGATAACCCGAAAACACTGGCAATGTGTAATGATATAACTTGCCCCGAGCCTGACCCATTAGTCTGTTATATTTGCACAACGCAACGTTCGAAATTTCGCCAACACGAGTAATCGTAAATGAAATATTTATTTATTACTCTTATCCTTTTGGGGGGTGGTCCGAAGAGGGGGTCCGTAGGGGTAGTCCGTAGGGGTAGTCCGTAGGGGTAGTCCGTAAGGGTAGTTCGTAGGGGTAGTCCGTAGGCCGGTCCGTTGGGTAGTCCACGTAGTGGGGGTCCGCGAACCGGGGGTCAGTGTTTTCGGGTTACCCTGATAGTGATTCCCGTCACTTTATCGTTAACCGCCGTGCTTTAACGTGTCCATAACACAATTTAGATGTACCTCAAAAATGTGCTTGATTCCGCTACATGTATTTGATAACCATGCAGTGAAATCTGTTGGACCACGTCTACATTAATTAGTGATGCACAAGTGTACATGTACATGTACTTTACCTCCACACTTGTGGGACAACATTCCACTGCCCTGCTTAACATGATCTGAGCATCTTCAGGGCCTTCTAACTCTACAGCCGCTTTCCAAATCCTAACAGAGTTAGGAATCTGCTCCAACGCTACAAAGGGGACAGCAGCAACAAACATACTGTGACACAATTCATGTATGTTACACTAAACTTACATCACAGAAATCCAGTTAGTAGACAGTGAACTTTTGTCAAAAGTAGTGGAAAAAAACACCCTGAAGAAAACATCCTGTTAGAAAGCTTGTACTAAAAGATGTACCGCTATAACTCGATAGCAACACAAATTAAGCATGAGCCGATTGACGTAATGAAAGCCGACACGAGCACGGAGAATTTACATTTAGATAATTAATCGATGTGGAAATGATTCTTTTTTTCTCCGCCGAGTTTTCTATAAGAAATGCAAAACATTTTCTCCGTGTTTCTATTGAGTTATAAACACTCGTGAAAGTACAGGAGAACATGGAAAAGCCTTAGGCCCATAATCCCACAGCATTTCTCGCTCTCCCAAACTTCCTCTCGCGTTTCTATTATAACTCCATAGAAACATAAAAACTGTTCTCTATTTCTTGATTGCGCCAGTTAAATAGCTTATGCCTATGTCTATTATGTGCACTGTAGACACGGTTGAAATAATACATTTTAGTTTTCAAGAAAGGAAAACGTGGCAAAAAATGGTTTAAAGACGGGATAAAAATAACATGATTGTTTAAGGCACAGGGTGCGTGTAACCTGGAGATGGCTTTCCTGCGTGCATGTTGCATTCATTAATATAGCAAAAACCTATTAATTTTTTACCTTTCCTGTAAACTCTCTTCTTTGCTTTCGCCTCGTCCTCCAGTGCCGCAGCCTTGATCCACAGTCGGACAGACTGAGGCAGCTGACCAACTGCTTGTGCGCAAACTGATTTGGCTGTCTCTGGGGGCTACAAAGGAGATAACACCTTGTAAGAAATCGCCTGATAAAAGCCCTTCACCAATGACTGGGCATTTGTTTGATACCATTTTATTGTAACACCAACTAAGAACGATAGGTAACATTGATCTATGAAGGTTGTGGGGACATAAAGCAGGGACAAGGCTCTTCGTACAGGATGCATGTTGCAGAGACAGCTGATACACACGAGCGGATATTGGTGCATTGCTATGTTGTACATAGCAAGGACAGTTTGCAAGAGCACGGCACATGATGCGACTGTGAAAATTGAGGTCATTTTGTCCCTGATTCATTACCACGAATTCAAACCAGCCAAGTTTCATGCAACATGTTGTGGGGACAAAAATTTGTGGCCACTATGAAACAAAACTGGGCAAATTAGAGGATGAAAACTGTTGCTGCAACGTGTGTCCCTGCAATGTGATGACGGTAAAAGAAGTGCTAAGAATTTCGGAAATCTCTTTTGAAGCACGTTACTTGCCGTTCACGTATGAGTGCCGAACTGCTTACAAACCTGCAAACGGATTGCCTCAAGCCAGACGTCTTCATTCTTTGAACAGACCTCTGTCCCTTTCATGATTGTGTTTCGTGCAGCTTGCATGCGACCCGTCACCTCTTCCAAACGAGCAGCAGCTATCCAGCCTAGAATCACATTCAAGAAAAGATGATGGTTACTAAACTACATGTATGTTTACAAATGAAAACAGAATATACATCTCTTGAAAAAGGCGTAGATTCAAAAATATGGAATTTTGGCTCAAATAATGCTGATCAAAGTTCAACTAACTTTGACTTAGAGATGCTCATTAGTGGTACACTTAATTTTGTTTTGTGTGTGCACCTACACTGAACAAATAAACAATGAAACTAAAATTAATTTTATTTTACAGACTGCGGTGTTTTACAAGGATTTCCATCCCTAAGAAAGGCCACAATTAAACACATGTCAAATTACGATAATTTCACTGCGATATGTCAATGACGTAATGCTTGATATCATGTTTTTCATTTGTTGGTGTATGATTGAAACATCTTCAGCAATCTGTGGTTATCCTCGGAAACCTTCGCATGGCCATCAGACAACTTTTGGAAATCTTCGGAAAATCGTCAAAAACGTTTCTTAGTATGTTTATATAATTATTCAAAATAATACACGGTTGCTTGTAGGTCCTTGTAGATATGGAATTTGCCTTCGCTGTTCAATTTTACATCTCAAGTGAGCGCAGCAAACGAGTGAGATATCCTTTTGAAAACTCAAAGAAAAATCCCATATCTACTGTATGTGCACCCATGTATTATTCTCTGTGTTAAGTTTAAGTGTGGACTTTTATCACTCACCAGGTCCATGCTGTGGGTTTGTAGTGATTACAGACTTGAGTAGAAGTCTTGCTTTCTTAATGTCACTTTAGAAACAAAACAACAGAAAAGACACGTTTTGTATGGTACAACTTGACAGCATTCATGTCTGGCTCATATAACTGTCATGTAACTGGTTGCATCACTAATAAATAAANTAAAAAGAAAAGTTTTAAAAAAGCACTTTTCTGGGAAGCTAGAAATGTATTTTGAAATATCAGGAGTAGTGCAAACCCTGTTTTCAAAAGGCAGTCAAACATGATTGAATGGTAAGACAATATGAAATGCTCAACGTAACAAAACTTGCAAGTTAAGCAACAGGTGCCACATGAATACATGTTCATGTATGCTCCCGAAACCTGTCTGAAAAAGAACATTTGAAAATCCTACCATGAGCAGCATATAACATTATGGCCTAACTTACCCAATATCTCCACCAGCTGAGGGAGTTAAACTCTGAAGATCAGTCAGATAACCTTTAGGATCTACCACAGTCTGACCACTGACAGAATCAGAGGCCTAAAAGGATGAAGTCATATTATATTTGTAAAAGGGCAGTGGTGCATGTACATGTACAAATCTACATTGCAGTAAAGTAGAAACATGAATGTATGTAAACCAGTACAGCATGGGACAGGAAGTTTCTAATAGTAATCAAAATATAATTATTTTCTTTTTCCTTCTGTTTGCTTTGATATAAATACTCTGTATCATGCAAAGTGAGCCATTCTAATGAAAAATGCAGTTAATGGAACAAACTGAAAAAAAACAAAAAAAAGACATCTTACACAACCTGATGTTGAAAAGATTTTGGCTCAGGAAAAGTGCTTAAACCCACCTTCAAAAAAATACATAGAGTGGTCTGTCCCCATTATAATAATAATCGTAAAATATTTGTGTAGATGTACACAGACATGTCACATGTAGCTAATTAGTCAGGTAAATCTCACTGTTCCAACACAACTACTAAATTGAGTCATTACCTGATCCAATTTGACACCCACAAGAGATTTCCTGGCTTCACCAATTTTAATCAAGTCTAGATCTGCAGAGGGTGTGGCAAACCCAGTTGTCATGCCACCAGGAGTCACCCCACCAGGAAATGGAGTTTGGAGTCCACCAAATTTCTTTCAGTATAATAAAACTAAATGTTAGTCTGTATGTATTGTAGGCCCTTGCATGTAGGAAAGAATTATTCTGGGTCATTCCTTTTTATTTTTAGTAAAATTATTTCCACACTGGCACACAAAAATACTACTTACAATGCAATATTTACATTACCTACATGTACATTAATTGATACTTGTAACACAAAATACCCTTACTACATTGATTAAATTACATTATTAAACATTACGCTTCTTACACTACACTCCCAATACAATATATACACTACTCACTTTGCTGTACTTTTGTACAGCAATTACATTATGACACACCCTGCCCCACTGTGCAACAGAGTTCCAATAGGAACTCTCTCATTGGGATTAAGGCCATATTTAATTTTTTTTTTTTTTTTTTTTTTTTTTT